AACTAGTAAATGACCAGATGACTAAAACATGGGAACCTGTAGCCATGTCGATATTATATTACCCTGGTAGTAATCTCTATTAATCTCCAGTATAATTACATTAATTTGTTTGATATAAAATTGTTTTATTTGATATTATGTAAATATGAACTTTTATTTTATATTGGTTTATTTATTATTACCATATGTTACTTGTATTTATATTGTAAGTTAATATTGTGTCCAGTTTGGCCCTGTAAATAAAGGGTATTATTTTTTTATTTATTTTTTTTGACAAAGTGTGTGCGGTTTCGTTTTCTAAAGTACCGTTTCAAGAACCGTTTAGGCACCGTAACCGTTTAAAAAATACAGAGGTACTGGTATCGGATAAAACCCAACCAATACCCAACCCTATCTAGGCCCCGTATTCTGTCACGTCAGAGCATTGTGAGGATGAAGGAGGGAGAAGGAGATGGATTATATGCAAGCAGTTTTATTAACAAAAACAAAGAAGATAATACAAATATAAACTCAGGTACATGAGAAAACACAACAGTTTACTTGTTCAGTAGAATAAAGACAAGGCAGGACACTGAACTGCAAACTAGAGGGTTTAAATACACAAAATGATAAGCGATAAAACAAGGCACAGATGTGTATTAATCAACCAGCTAATGAGTAACCATAACAACAAACTATAAATGATGGGAACAAAAGAAAACCGAAAAAAAGAAGGGAGTGCAAACTACATAGGGCCACTTGCGGTCTTTGCTCTACTCACATGATGTACTGTATTTCCTGTATTTGGCCCAAGTGGACATCAATACCGCAAGTGTAGAGCTTTTGATTACCCGATGGGACATACATATTGTTGTAAAAATTCAAGTGTATACAGAACTTTATTTTGATTTTCAATACTTTGCATAGCTAAAATAAACTTGTAGATGTCTTTTCCAAATGTATTTCTAAATGTAGACCCTAACAGGCCCTGAGTGATAAAAAGCAGTTGCAAATGTTTTGAAGGGAGCATGAAATGGAACAATGTCTTGGCATAAAAACAAGTAATATATAGCAAAAACTGAATAGAGAATGTTGAACTGTCATTGAATGTTGAACTGAACTGCTCCCCTGTGAGTGAATTACACAGGGGAGATGTAAATGCTTCTCTTTGCAAGCTTTGGTTAGAGGCGGCTGAAACGCAACTTTAGGGTCAACTTCCAGCCTGCATGGAGAGATTCTTGGAACTCCAAAGACACAAGCAGCTTCAAACCTGTTTTCTGCTCAATAGTGGCTTTTTATTATAGCTTCCCTTTTATTACAATTATTTTTGATTTGATTGACAGAAACCTTTTTTCAATAAGCCTTAAATGACAGAGCTCTTCTCTGCTCTGAATCACTCACAAAGCTTTTGACAGTTCGATTATCTCTAGTCAGTTTATGTAAAATAATTGTTGTTTTCACACCTTTTGCAAGACATTGCACCATGCTCTTATAAGAAAGATCTTACTTCCTCCCCATATTGCATAACTGTAACTTGCTCAATGTGGAGCAACCTCTTTAAAATAAAGTAAGAACAGGAACATCACCCAGTGAAATGAATTATTTTTTTTCATTTTCATTTTTTCAAATTTCATTTTCTTTTCATTAGAAATGTACTTGAGTTACAGTAAAAGTTTACCCACATTTTTAATTTACTCTATTGTATTTTTTTCATTGTTTTATGATTGAATTGTTTTATGATTGCTATTTTTCTTCTTCTGCTCTAAAGCACATTGAAATACCACAGTGTATGAAATGTCCTATAAATACACTTGCCTCTCCTCCCTGATAGTGGGGAAGATTGCAACAACATCACTCATTGTGCTTGACATTAACCTTCACATTTTGAGGACAAGTAGATTCCAAAACAACTAATTTAAAATGATATCAATGCTTGAGATACATAACACACTTAAGTTACAGATGATAAAAGCAAACAATATTACAATCATCCCTGTCTCAATCCCCACATCATCTCCCCTACATAGTTTTCATAAAACAAAACATCTCCTTGAATTTTATTCTACAGACCTTACAATCAAAGATGAATAATCACACATGAAATGCAATCAAACATGAGAGTACACAGAATATATGCCCTGGATGACCATCAATTTCTGATTTCTGATTTTTTTAAAGAGTGGTGAGTCATGCAAATATTTTTTTTCCCACATGGAATTCCATTTTTATACTGGTAGAAAAAAATTCATAACTACTAATCAGCCATCAACCACTCAAGATGAGTAAAAGAAATCATGCTCATTTTGCATCTGTTCACGGAATATATTATTGGCCTTCTCCAGTTTTTCGTGTGTGTCCAGATGCTTTTCCAGCAGAGCTTTGTAGTGCTTCTCAGGATGGCCGTCCATGTTCTCCACCTTCCAACTGTAGTATGCATTATTTTTAGGTGTTTTGATATTTTTACCCAGCCAGACCCAGAGTCTGGCGCAGGGCAGAAGACCCACAGCAAAGTCCAGTGGATCTTCCATCAGTTCTCTGTAGAACGACAGATATTTCGTCATAGCTGGAGTTGGCTTAATGGTGGGCACATCCTGTGGAAATGAGAGTATAAAGCGTCTTCAATAAATTCACACATTAGTAAAGTTTAGTCTTTGTTTTCTGTTCTTACCTTAAAAGAAAATCTTTCAAGCATTAAGTCGGTATATTTTTTATAACTTAAGTATCTGCCGTTTATGAAGTCCCTGAGGTCATCAGGCTGGATTTCTTTTTCACTCATTTCCTTCAACATTTTCGTCACCGTCAGTATGTAGTTGATGTCTTGCATGGTGAAGTTTATGTATCGCTCTGCCTGGAGACTGCCATTCTGCATTTGTTGTAGGAAGTCTACTCGGAGTGTCTCAAAGGCAATTGCACTGTTGTTCTCCCATATTAATTCATAAACGTCTTCAACAGATGTGATTTCCAAATTGTTACTGGGGCAGCTACAAAGTATGTACCTGTTACATGCACAAACCATTACCAAAATAAATAATTTAAGAAGAGTGTTAATAAAGAGGTAATTGATTTCAAACCAAAAATATTTAAATTAAATTTATCAGGCATTTCTGATTAGTAAGGCCTGATAAAATCAAGGAATGGCCCTTATATTAAGATACCCATTTGTTTTAGAAAGTAAAAGTAAAAGTTTTTTTTTTTTTTTTGATTGGATTGGATTGTCCAAAGTATGGGTGTTAAATCAAAACTCAGTATTCATGTCAAAGTCAATGTATCATGTAAGTAAAAGACCTTACCCAAAATATAAGAAACTAAAACAAAGAAAGGCCACCGTCTTCATGTTTATGGGGTTGATGTGAACGTCTCCAGCTCTCTTTAAGTTCCTCAATCTCCAATCCAAGCACTACAGTTTTATATACTGTATAGTCAGTTATTGGGTAATAAACATAGTTACGCCTACTGTTTTTTTTTATTTGTTAGTCAAAGTTGGATGTTACATTTCCAAGGAACTTTTACAGATACAGAGTATATTAACTGAGTAGATTAGTCTGCTGCCTTGTCCAAACTTGAAACACAGGTACATTACACCATTCACTGTCAGAAAAAAAGGTACAAAAGCTGTCACTGGGGCGGTACCTTTTCAAAAAGGTACACTTTTGTACCTAAAGGGTGCATATTGGTACCATAATCGTACAAATATGTACCATGAAGGTACCAATATGCACCCTTTAGGTACAAAAGTGTAGCTTTTAAGAAAGGTACCGCCCCAGTGACAGCTTTCGTACCTTTTTTTTCTGAGAGTGTTCCAAAGAAAAACATTTTAGAAGCCAAGACGGAAGATTTCCATCTTGCAGTAGATTAGTCAGCTCAGCTGCTGTCAAATTTGAAACACAGGTACAGAACACCACAGGTACGCCAAGACGGAAGATTTCCTTTGTAGGGGCTCAGATTCATTTGTTAATGGGTCATCACTCATGCCCCACAAAAAAAAAAAAAAACTTGGAATAAACTACGCATTTCTTAAGATGTTTTAAACTATTGAAATGCATTCTTACCCCAAGCCATGGTTCAATATTTGACGCTTTAGGCACCCTTTAGCGTCAGTTACATGACGCGATCCTAAAGCCTAGTTCACACTACGTGATTTTAAGCCCGATTTAAGCCCGATTTGCAAATCGTTGAGTCGCCGACAAGTCAGGGTGTTATCGCGTGCAAATCGCGGGCGATTAGCGGACGATTAACGCTCGCCAATCAGTTAGTGTGAAAGAGCCAACAACGCATCAAAGACAGCTCGCAGACAGCTCGCAGACAGGTCACCGAACTCAGAAAAATATCTAGCATGCTAGATATCTCGCGCAGTCGCGCGACTCAATCTCAGTGATGTCATGAGTACAGCCAATCATAGCAACGCATGGGTTGAGGACACCAGGTAAATCTTACTTTTTCTTTTTTGCATCTTTTTTTTTCTCAGAGCATATCGTCGAGCAAACAGTGTGCAGCACTAGTTTCTGTCTGACGTCCATATTCGCGTGTTGTGTTCTTCTCTGCAGTTTCGCGTCATTTCTGGTTCGTTTTATTGCGTGGTTTTTCGTTACAAAACATGGTTTCTAGACCAGATAGAATCGTGTTGTTGTCAACTCGTTATTTGTTTGATTATTTTCAGGATTTAGACCGTATTATAGTACTGAAACAGCTCTCATTGAGTCACAAATGATATGCTCTTATCATCCGATCGTGGTTGTATCTCTATGTAGTGCGTTGTGAACTCGTGTAGTGAGTTACCTCCTGTTGTGGATCAATCACGTTGTGTTGTGTGGTGTGAACAGCTAAACAACTTGAACACTCATGATTTCACTGAGAGCAAGTCATGTAGTGTGAACTGCACAGTTCAGCCCGACATTTTAAAATCATGTAGTGTGAACTAGGCTTAAGGGTCATCTAACTGACGCTAAAGGAAAGCATCAGTTAAATGACGTGGTTAGGTTTCGGTCTGGGGTAGGGTTACACGCGATCCTAGGGCGTCATCTAACTGACGCTGAAGGGCGCCTAAAGCGTCAGATATTGAAGCATGGTCAAAATGCTTCCCAAGTCAGTTAGGTGACGCCTTGGGGGTGAGAATGGGCTGTTAACAAACCTGTCTGTGATGATTGATCCCAGTTATCTTAAATGATATGGAAAAACAAACACTTTCTTTGAAAAAATGGTAACACTTTAGAATACAGTTCCTTCGTTAATGAATAACTACACAAGAACCAATGAGTAACACAATATTAACTGATTAACGAACTAGTAAGTAATAGCGCACAGATGAAAGTGGTAGTTCATTATTGACTAATCAATAACTACTATGTTTTAATACTTCCCAGAGAACTACTGAAAAATTTTATTAACAATATATCATAATATTAACTATTATCAACTAAAAAAACTCTGATTAACGAATTTGTAAGTGATAGTGCGCAGATGAAAGTGTTACTAGATACTTCTGTGGGAATTACTAATTATTTGGATTCATATTATAAAGTTAAGATCATTGGAACTAACTAGTAATGACTCAAGTGTTACATGATCTAGTCATGACTTGTGCAACCAAATACTAAAGTCATTTCAAGTGTTTGAGATTTTTGTTGAACATTGGTATACTTTTTGAAAATTTCTTTAGTAACACTCAAGTCATTACCGATTAGTTCCCATGGTCTTCACTTTATAATACGGATCCAAATAATTAGTATATTGAAATATTTAAATTTTAATATACTAAATATTTACTGCATAAAATCCTAATGATATGTCACTCGCAGAATAATTTAGAACACAGTGTATTGTGCATCCCTATGAACATTTTGTATTCTGCAAAAGGAGTTTGTTTGTCATTGATTTATATTTAATTATTTTAAATGTTTTTAATTGAGGGCTAAGACAAACCTGGCAAAAAAAAAAAAAGAAAAAAAAAAGCAGCCCGATTCTCACCCCTCAAAGCCATAAAGCTTATTTCAGCTGAAAAGCTTATTCTTTAGTCATGTATGTCATTATGCTGAGACATTCTGAAAGGCTCTGTCTATTTATATTACATTGCAGGGAGCTTAAATCCAAGATTGAGAAGGAGGAAACAAAGAGGGAACTACTGGGATCTCAGTCAAATCTGGCTGACTCTCACTGTATCCGCTGCCTGCAGCCCTTTAAGTTCCTGGTGAACAGTAAACGGCAGTGTATAGACTGCAAACTCTACACCTGCAAATCCTGCAGCCGCTACAACAAGAAAGAGCGTGGTTGGGTTTGCGACCCCTGCCGCATGTCCAGGTTAGAACATTTTTTTCTTTTCTCAGAGTTTAATGCTTATACACTTTGTACACTTCTAAAGTAATGTGAATATGTAATCACTTATAAATAAAATCTATACATAGCACCTGTTTTTTGTTTTGTTTCTTTTTAATCCAGGGTCCTAAAAATTGGAACCTTGGGGTGGTACCATGACAATGTACACTCTCGCTTCAAGCGTTTTGGCAGTGCAAAAGTAATGAGGTCACTCTATAAGAGATTAAATGAAGATGGTGAGTGCTATTAAAAGCCCTGATAACCTTTATTGTGCATACATTGCTGTCAGTGTCACATCATCATGGTTCAGTATCACCAGTCATTTTAAGTGATTGTGCGCGCAAGGGAGTGTTAAGTAAGAGATAATGTACAGCTTGCCAGTTATTATCGCTAAATAAAGATTGGGCCTCAGAATAGAGGGCTCTTGTATCACCCTGAAGGGGTTTATTTTGCAACAATGACTGGCTGACTGTCACTGTACATTATCCCACTTAGTACACAGCTACTCTCTAAACACTAAACAAACAAATGTGTGGATATGAAATATTGATTTCAGTTTAAGATATCGTATATTATATTGTACAGTATTGTACATAATGTAATAATTTTAACTGTATAGTCGGTCACATTTTAGATTAGGGTCCAAGTCTACGAATTCTGCCTCAATAAACTCCTAATTACTGCTTCGTAATAGTTAGTAAGGTAGTATTGGGCAAGGTAAGGTATTGGGTAGTTAGTAAGGCAGTATTGGGTAAGGTAAGGTGTTGGGTAGTTAGTAAGGCAGTATTGGGTAAGATAAGGTGTTGGGTAGTTAGTACGGTAGTTTTGAGTTAAGGTATTGAATAAGAATTGGGTAGTATGTATATGGTCATGCAGAATAAGGCATTATCATGTGCTTTATAAGTCCTAAACTGAAGTGTTGCCTTATACAATACAATGTTATATGTCAGCCCATTATCACCCCCAAGCCGTCACCTAACTGACTTGGGAAGCATTTTGACCATGCTTCAATATCTGACGCTTTAGGTGCCCTTTAGCATCAGTTAGATGACGCCCTAGGATTGCGTGTAACCCTACCCCCACCCCACACCTAAACCTAACCACGTCCGACGCCGTAGGATCGCGTCATGTAACTGACGCTAAAGGGCGCCTAAAACGTCAAATATTGAAGCATGGTCAAAGGTGACGCCTTAGGGTGAGAATGCGATGTATATGTATAGGACGTTTAAAACCAATTGGAGTTGACCAAAGTGCTATTGAAAAAAAAAAAAAATGTTTTCAAAGTTGATTTAAAAACTGAAAAAGTTTTGGCGGATCTGATGTAAGCCGGTAAGCTATTCCATAGCTTAGGACTGTAAATGCACGATCACCCCTAATTTTAAGTCTAGTTCTAGGGACAGATAGTAGATTAGAGTCCCCAGATCTTATAGTCACGTTGGATAAAAGCCCCTTCTAAATGAAAAAATGTAAAAAAAAACATATAATAAATATGTAAAGCATGCTTTTCAGATAAACAACAGCAAGAGACAGCAAATAGTTAGACCATGTGTAATCGTTGTTATGTCTACAGTATGTGTATTAAGTTACCAAAAGGATTTGTTGATCAGTCTTTTGAATTTAAAGAACTCTGTCCAGAGACTGTTCCAGCAGTGCTGAGGCCACAACAGGGTCACATGCTATGTCTGGGGCGCTGTATAACTTGTTGATGTTGTTTATAGCCTTGCGCGACAGGACATGTTAAAGAGAAAAAAGTAGAAACCTTGGATGAATGCACAAATGGAGGCTTAGATTCCACATATTGTAATCTGTCTGAGTGCCTGAGTTAAATAGTCCTTAAGGAATGTCAGATTTTCCCTTTGTGTTACACAAGACCAGCATTTACATTGTTGTCCTTGATTTATTTAGGGCAACGTGATGATGACACGCAGAGCATGCCTGATGTGCGCAGTGAGTACAAAACACATTCATGGTGTTTTGAAGAAAACAGGAAGCATATTAGAATTTGAATTTAATACCTCTGATATAGATGGTGTCGTCACAGAGTAGAGCTGAGGGGATTTGACCAAGCATTGTTAAAGGATCCATATTGAAACCATTGAATCCCTTTTGGTAGTGCACCACTGTAATATATAATCTATTTTATTCTTAGATGTGTGTAATGGTCATGATGAAGAACATATGGATGCTGCTGAGGCTCAACGTTATAAGCAGGTAGATTAAATTGTTAGGTATTTGAATTCACATGTCAGTAGCATTTTTCGAGGCTTTCACAAGGTGAAATAAAGCATTTTTTAAACTCTTTTTAACAACTTAGTAAATCATTGTTTTTGTGCTTAGTGTTTTAGTCTATTGGTACAGCTTTTGTGTTGGGAACCAATACCCTATGAAATGCCATTTCTGCCACAAAAAAAGAAAAAAAAAAAACTATTCTTATGGCATATAACAATTATGACATACAGCAAGACCCTGGTTTCACAGACAAGGCTTAACCTAGTCCCAGACTAAAATGCATGTAAACTGTTTTACCTTGTGCTGATGTTAAAATATGTCAGTGCCATTGTTTTGGATCTGCAATACTTTGTAGATGTACACCAGTAATGTTTTTCTAAGGCATGCTTATAAAAAAATATCCTAATTTAACTAAGGCCTAATCCTGGTTTAATTTAAGCCCTGTTTGTGAAACCAGGCCAAAATGTCATAATAATGAGATGCTAAATTACAATTATGAGATAAGAATAATGTGGTTGTCCTATTTAGTCAGTCTACTAACCAAGTAACTTTGCAATTACTGGCCTGGTTTCACAAACATGGTTTAGATTAAGACAGGATTAGGCTTTATACAATTAGGATATTTAAGTAGCTTTTCTAAATGTGCCTTAGTAAGTGTGCCTTTCAGATACTGACATATTTTAGCACATGTTAGTACAAGAAGCTTTCAGTTAAAACCCCTCAGTAATGAACTTTGGTTGGACTAGGCTTAATATGTCAACTAATTCTTGTTAATTTGCAACTTAATATCCAACTCTCATTAGAGTATTAGTGGAATGTTAGGTTGGTTTTAGGGTTAGTAGAATAAGTTAACATATACTTGTAAGCTTTAGTCAGTAGAATGTCTGTTGGAGGACCATCACAATACTGTGTTAACAGATATTGAGCAGATAGTCTAAATGACATAGTTACACATTTCCTTATAGAATGTCTAAAGTGGACTATTGAAATAGTGTTGCCAATGTTGAAATTATGATACACTAATTTTGCGATAAAATGTTGGAATTGTGATGCTCAAAATTATGACATATTAGGGAAAAAATAATTAGGACAAAAACTTTTTAATGTCATAATTTTTACTTTTTTTACATCATAATTATGGTGTATCAAAGATTTTCTTTTTTTGTGGCAGAAATGGCCTTCCTTACTATGACTTAGTATATTCATACCATAATATATAGGCCTATATGTATAGTATTTTTATACTTAAATAAACAAAGGAGATTTCTGCCACAGAGTTTCGGGCAAACTTATTTTAAGTCTACAACTTAATTATTGAAGTTACTTTTTACTTTGTTTATAAATCTGAGGTGGCACATTTAAATGGGCATGATGCTTCTGTTGCAGTTGGCTGCTATTGCAGTACTATACATTATTATACATTACTGTATATTTCATAAATCCCTGGAATTAATATTTTAGAATCATTATAAAAGCATTGGGAATATTTTAAATTGTGAAATTATGATAACAAATGTCTCATAAACCAGTATTCTGTTCATCATATTATCTTCTATGAACTTGTTGTGACTTCCTCTCAGATGCGAAAGACCAAGCGTCTGCTCTCTGTGCACCCCATGGATCTTGACATGGATGACTATGCCACTCACTCCCGCAGACAGTCTGTCCAGGTATTGATATGGTTCTCACTATGAACATCCACATTTTTAAGGGGTACTCAGGCATTATAAACACTTTTCTCTCTTCTCCAGTACATCCATGAAGATAGAGGTCAGCGGAATGATCTAGAATACAATTCCGACATGTACCATCAGCATCGCATGAACCGCAGGAAAAGTCTCGACAGGATTTCGCGCCCAGGTGAAGAAAGCATGTTCTGTTTGTACATTTCAATCTCCCTTTCTTTCTTTCCCTTCTCTCTCTCTCTTCCTCCTTTCTTTCAAAAATTGACACATTCACACAAAGTGCTGTTGGATGGAGTAAAAAACTGATCACATATGATGGACTTAAAATAAAATCTGGTGTAGATTTCATCATAAAATAATTTGCATATTCACAAAGTTTTTGGATTACACATAAAGAATATTAATATTGTCTATGTCTATACAATATTATAATTCTAAAATAGTACTCGTAATCAGTGTCTCAGAATATAAACAGAATGTACAGTATTTTAAAATATTTTAACCCTTGTGCTGCATTAGATTTTTAACACCGTTGAGTGCATTAAGGACCAAAAATGGCCACATATTAAACATTGCCTAAAATATTATATATTATTATTATTTTCCACTTTTACCAAGTTAAATCTTTTAACCAGCATCAGTCCTCATCATAACTACCAAAAATGCATTCAATTTCAGGATTTTAACCCTTTAATTACCAGTTTTGTTTGCGAAACCATCGATTTGTATGAGAGGAAAAAACACAAAAATTCAATTATTTTCAATAAACTAAATGCAAAAAGAAAACTTTAGATTTGGATTATCACAGTCCCACTTTGCAAAAAATCCCACTTAGCGCGTTAGAGACCAAAAATGGCCACCTATTAAACATTGCCTATTGCCTAAAATAAGGTGCATTTCCACCCATAGGGAATAAATATGTAGTGACGTCATCTGGTGGAATACACTATATAATGCAAATATAATGCTTTTGCTTCAAAATGAAAGGATGTTTGTGCAAAAATCATGTTTCATGTATTACTGACAGCCTCAGATTTAAACAACGTTTTAATGGGTTTCAATGGGCCATTTTTGGTCTTTATGGTGCTGAGTGTTACTATTTGATCTACACAGTGTGTGTTATACATATTTTGCAAAATGGGATCACATTTTTTACATGTATCCAAAAAGTCACAATTTTGCCAAATTTCATACCATTTGCATTAAAACAGCCAAAATGGTCAAAGAAATTAAACTGCAAAAGACCAAAAATGTCCCTAATGCAGCATAAGGGTTAAGTAAATGTGTAACACGGATAAGCCAACACAGTCTCACGGATAAGCTGAGGGAATGTTGGATCCATATGCAGGGAACATAATTAGCTCATCAAAACATACAGCCATATAGGACAAGACTCGACAAAGAACACAAGACACACTGGGGTATAAATACTAGAGGAGCAATAGGACAACAAGACACACATGGGAATTAACTAACACACCAGAAAAACTACAAAGAACTACAAAACATGGTGAAGAACAGGAAGTAACATAAAAGTACAAACAAGACCAAAGGAACACATGGTCAGGATCATGACTATATGTTAAATCCTTTTATGAAATATATTTACATTTTTTTATGTATTGTAAATGTGTAAGTTACCCCATACACATCATTTTGAAAGAAACCATATGTATGCAATTTAGCATATTTCTACTGATTTTTTGTTTGTTTTTGTAATCCAGCATCTGTGGATCCCTGACATAACATATTGAAAATAACATTTGTAATTATGTTGTGCATAATGATGATCAAGTGATCAAGGTTGAGGCTAAAGAGGTTTAAGTATTACAAATCATATATTGTTTTAATGTTTTTTTGATATCGGTTCAATTACATGTTGTATAACATAGCATGCACTGCATGGACAGTCAGGAGCACTTAGATGGAGTTTAGCATTAATCAACACTAAGCAAATTAACTAATATGTCCTCTTCATTTATGTTGTAGATGATGGACTGTATTCTGAACACAGAATGGTACGCGCTCGCTCTCTCTCTAAAATCAACTCTTCCATGGCTCCGCGCCAGATCTACCTGGACACTTCAGAGGAGGAAGATATGTTCCGTTACCCTGTCTACCAGCTGCCCCCGCGACGCCGCAGTCGAGCATCTTCTCAGGAAAACATTCAACAGGGGCCACCACCGGTATGAATAAGAGACTTTTATGAGGCATTCAAAAGAGTGCATAAATGGGTAACACTTTAGAATACTGTATCTTACTTACTGCAGAATTAAAAAGGAATTATTGACGAACTAATAGGTAATTCTTCATTAACTACTTCTTCACTACTGTTAACTACTAAGGAAGATCTGTTAACTAATTAGTATGTAATATAATTTTATGATTGTGTTAAGTATCAGTTAGTTAATAATGAATTCTGTCATACCTCCTGAAGAACTACTACTAATTATCTACTAATTAAGGTTCAAGAAAAATAACTAAGATGTAACTACTGAACAGTCAAAACTAACCTCAAATTATTTGTATATTTTATATACAGTACTGTGTGTGTCTGTTTTCCTCAGCATAGAATGCCACTGAGTAAATTCATGTATTTGAGGCAACGACTGAGGGAAACTGAAAATATAGGGAACTTATTAGTAATTAATAAATAAGTATCAAATAATTCTGCAGGAATTATTTAGAAGCTGGAACAGTATTCTAAAGTGAAAATATAGGGAACCCATTAGTAATTAATAAAGAGTTATCAAATAATTATCAAGGAATTAGGCTACTTATAACCTGAAACAGTCTTCTAAAGTGAAAATATAAGGAACTTATTAGTAATTAATAAAGAATTACCACATACTTCTGACTCAAATCAAACTTACTGTAAACTTACTAAAACCTTCTAATAATAAGGTGTAATATATGTTTTTGCTTATTTGCAGATCATAGCCTATAGGTAAATGTCTGCACATATCTTTCTTATTAGTGCTGAAGAATGACAAACTGTCTGGCTACTGATATGACCTGCTTCTTCACCTCATGTGGATGTAAAAGTTTTACATTTTATGCCTTTTATCAGCCAAGAAGGACCCAAATTAGAAATTTATGATACTATTCTACTACATTTATGACCCACTTTCAATACATATTCATGTCTCCATCGGTGGAATTACCCTTAGTCAACGTCACCAATGATTTTTTCCGTCTTTCTTTCACATGTTGCTGTGAGGTAGATCAATGAACTGAGCAAGAGAATGTCTGCCATTGAGAGTCTTTTGAATCGACTGGAAGAGAAAATGACTCCGGCTTCTGATCAGGTATGAATATGTCTCAAAACATAAATGTAGCTCCAGTATTTCTTATTTTTTTAAAGGTTTTTCATAATTTTAATAAAAAAAACTTTTCATGTTTAGCCTGTTCAGCCCACAGCAGGGCAGATGGATGAGGTGAAGCTTAGACGAAAACTAGATGAGCTATTGAGCGACAAGGCGCTTTCCTCTGATGAAGATGAGCCGAAGAGACCTCCTAAGTCCAGAGGGTCCGCTGTGAGGGGTGACCAAGCACCGATGGCCCCTGTGTCCCTAGAACCCTTGAGCTCCTCCAGTGATGAGATGCCCACAGAAGCACAAAAGGTGAATACACAGACAACACACATATCCATAGAGTCCAAAAATCTATGGGAGATGCTGTCTTTGTCCAAGGTAAGGTTTTCCTGAGAAGCATCTCTGATTTAAAAAGAAAAGCCTTTCAATGTTTGTTTTTTTTATTTTTTTTATAGAACAGCTAATGCAGATTCAAACATCTCATTATCAGACTATTAGTGAAATATGGTATTAAAAGTCACACAACTTTCCGCAGGTTTCCCATATTATCGGTAACATTGTTGTAGAACGCTCGAAAAAAAGAAGAAAATTCTGTCATCACCCTCATGTCATTTTAAACCATAAGCCTTTGGTTAATCTTCGGAAAGCAAATTAAGACATTTTTGAATGAAAGCCGAGATGTTAGTGTTTCTCCATTGAAATTCCTGATTACCAAAACTTAGTGGTTTCAAAAAGCTCATAAGGCACCATAAAAGGAATCCATATAAACTGCAGTTTAAAGGGTTAGTTCACCCAAAAATGAAAATTAAGTCATTAATTACTCACCCCCATGCTGTTCCAACCCCGTAAGACCTTCGTTCATCTTCGGAACACAAATAAGATATTTTTGATTGAATCTGAGAGCTGGATCAGTCCTAGATAGACTGCCTAAGGGACTGGTTCTTGACGGCCCATAAAGTCATTAAAGAAAAGGTTTAAATATTCCATGTGCCTACAGCGGCTCAATTATAAGTTTATCAAGCGACGAGACTACTTTTTGTGCGAAAAAAACATAAATAACTACTTTATTCCACTATTCCATTACTTCCTTATGGGCGCATGCGCGAGAACTGAGACGAGGACGTTCTCATTCGTCTACTTCTTGTTACCGGCTGCTCACCGCTTAGGAGTTTTACCGCCACCTACCGTATAAGATGATGTGCTGATATAGCTGGAAGCGCAAAACTTTCTGTTTACAAGCAGAGGAAGATGCGCGCTGTACATACGCTTTTCAATTTGCGTATTTTCCGCACTACAAGGTGCACTTAAAAGCCTTTAATCTTCTCAAAAAACGACAGTGTTCCTTATAATCCGGAGCGCCTTATATATGGATCATCATTTTATACGGTAGGTGGCGGTAAAACTCCTAAGCGGTGAGCAGCCGGTAACAAGAAGTAGACGAATGAGAACGTCCTCGTCTCAGTTCTCGTGCATGCGCCCATAAGGAAGTAATGGATAAGTGGAATAAAGTCGTTATTTATGTTTTTTTCGCACAAAAAGCAGTCTCGTCGCTTGATAAACTTATAATTGAGCCGCTGTAGGCACATGGAATATTTAAACCTTTTCTTTAATGACTTTATGGGCCGTCAAGAGCCAGTCCCTTAGGCAGTCTATCTAGGACTGATCCAGCTCTCAGATTCAATCAAAAATATCTTTATTTGTGTTCCGAAGATGAACGAAGGTCTTGCGGGGTTGGTACAGCATGGGCGTGAGTAATTAATTACTTAATTTTCATTTTTGGGTGAACTAACCCTTTCATCAAGTCTTGTTAGTTGCTTTATATGATGAAGGTTTGGTTACCTGGACATTCAAGGGGGGGTTTCAGGTCTTATGAGGTTTGGAACGACATGAGGATGAATAAAATGATGACAGAATAAAAAATATTGGGTTAACTATCCAGCCCGTTCTCATCCTTTAGCGCCACATAGAACGCTATATGACAAAACGGCGCTATACTACGCACATGGCACCCTTTATCGTTAATATTCACGCTAACCCAAGGCGTCATAAATCATTTAGCGTAATATGAGACTACCCTACCCTACCCCACACCTAAACCTAACCATCACAGTGCGTGTTATATTAACGATAACGGGTGCCATGTGCGTTGTATAGCGCCGTTTTGTCATTTAGCGTTCTATATGACGCTAAAGGATGAGAATGCGTTCAACTATCTCCTAATAATCTTAAAGGGATAATTGACTTTGAAATATTTTTTTTATATGTTTTAGCTTACCTCAAGGGCATCCAATATGTAGGTGTCTTTGTTTCCACAGTATTTTCACTTTTGGTATTTTTCGGTCAAACCGTTCTTGTCTGTCAGTCACATAATGAAGGTCTATGGTCACAGTGAGTCCAAATTAAACATGATTTAATGACTCGTAAATGTAAGTACACATTGATGGCCTAAGACACGAAACGAGCGGTTTGTGTGAGAAAGCGAACAGTATTTATATCGGTTTTACCCAAAGTCCAAGTGATCTGAAAGCACGGGCGCTTCGGTCTGCTCAAGCGCCAGAATGCGCCGGAAGTGATTTTTTTTTTTTTTTTTTTTGCATGGTTGCAGAAAAAAAAATATCAACATTGTCTGTTGATATACAGGAAATTGCAATGGAAGACGATTTCAATATATCTAAATATGTTTAGATCTTCACAGGGAAGGGTAACACTTCTGAAATCTATGTATAAACAGTGAGTGACATACATGCACGAGAGCTCACTTCCGAGGCTTTCCGGCGTTTGCCGGCGCTTGAGCAGAGAGAAGCGCCCTCTCCCTCAGAGTACTTGGACGTGACTGAGATTATAAGAGGTAAAAACGATATAAATACTGTTCGTTTTCTCACACAAACCGCTCGTCTCGTGTCTCAGGCCATCAATGTTTACTTACATTTACGAGTCATTAAATCATGTTTAATTTGGACTTCTCTGTGACCATAAACCTCCATTATACTTGATGACTGACAGACAAGAACGGTTTGACCTAATAATATCAAAATTGAAAATACTGCGGAAACAAAGACCCTTACATCTTGGATGCCCTTGAGGTAAGCTAAAACATATCAAAAATTAATTTCAAAGTGAACTATCCCTTTAAAATACTGAGTTCAGCTCTATAGCATTTTTATTAGTATAGCCGAAGAAACATCTCAAAGACAATCGTAGTTCCCCTGAGTTGTTTTTATAACTAATCCGTATATTATCCATTGACCATACGACACTTATGCCTCATTTAGCTATAATCTCAGCAATGCTAAAACCTCTCCACAGTATTTTTTTAGGGTTTTAATGCTGACGAGGCTTCTCTCCTCTCGGTTAATTACTGTTCCCTCTACATGGCTTTCAGAGATCCACTGCGGCGGCCCTATGCGACATCACAACTGAGATTCTAAGAACAATTAATGCCACTGAAAGCGCTATGAACGAGTTGGCCCACTCAAATCCTAATGACAGACTTCAGTTAGCGGGCACAGATGTTAAGCATGCTGATGATGCGTACAGGGAACTTGAGGAAAATGTAAGCTTAACCCTCTTATAGATACTGTTATGTTTGTTTGAAGGAGAGAGATTAGACTCGGTTTTATATCACTCGATTTGTTAAGATTTGTTCAGAACTGATTTTTGCTGTAGTTTTTCTTTCTTTCTTCATTACTGCAGGTGTACATGACTGCAGGGAAGTCCTTTGAAATGGCAAAAAAGTTGCAAATGATTGAACAGAATGCCAACAACAGCGGCCCGCTTATTGATTCAGAACTCTCTGAACTGGAGGACCAAGTTTCTTTGGCAGCCACTAAAGTTCAGAGCACAGAGAGTGAGGTGAGCTACATTACAAAAAATCTATCTATCTATCTATCTATCTATCTATCTATCTATCTATCTATCTATCTATCTATCTATCTATCTATCTATCTATCTATCTATCTATCTATCTATCTATCTATCTATCTATCTATCTATCTATCTGTAGATATTAATTACTTATTTATCTATTAGGTCTCAGACATTGAGAACAAGATAGCTGCTCTAAGTGCTAAAGGATTATCAATTGATAAAGCCAAGAAAAAGGTGAACTGATAAAAAAGAACCTTGTTAAAATGATTTTTTTTTTAACTCTTTAGACTTCTTTAAGTTTTGCAGATTTGCAACTAATACGATGTTTTTTGTCAATATTTTATTTCAGGCACTGAGTATACATCAAAAAAGGAAGTTTCCCCAAGACATTCCTTCGAACAGAGTACACTTCTGAGTGTAAACAGGACATTGCTTTATCTTCTCTGTTGCTCTGTATTATTCCAGCCCATTCTCACACCCAAGGCGTCACTTAACTGACGCCTTGGGAAGCATTTGGACATGCTTCAATATCTGACGCTTTAGGCGCCCTTAAGCGTCAGTAAGATGACGCCCTAGGATCGCGTGTACCCTACCCCCACCCCACACCTAAACCTAACCGCGTCCTCTAACTGACGCTTTCCTTTAGCGTCAGTTAAATGACGCCGTAGGATCGAGTCATGTAAGTGACGCTAAAGGGCGCCTAAAACGTCAAATATTGAAGCATGGTCAAAGGTGACGCCTTGGGGTGAGAATGCGTTGATTATTCAGCCCTTAATCCATTAGTACATTTGCAGCTTATATCCAAAATGTACATGCATTCAGTCCAAAGGATGTTTTTCAAATCATCAGAAGACAACACATACAAGTACACTGAGCCCCAAAGGATTAAACAGTATTTTTCCATGTATATAAAACCTTTAATTGTGTGAATTATGTTGTTTTAGAATGCATGTGAATCATTATTGTGTTGTTTTTTTTAATGGTGCAAACTGGATCACTATATTTCATATAAATTATATATATATATATTAAAGTAAATTTCACGTGCATATTTTTAAGTAAATTTCATGTATGGAATTAAGTAAACAACTTAACTTAGTTGAGTGAAAGTAACAAAGGAAATTAGTCATTTTAACTTGGCTATAGTAAAATGTTGAGTAACATCTATTTAGTTGAGTTTTTCCAAAACATTTCAATTATATAATATTAATATTATTAAATATAATATAATATTAAATTTAACCACACTTTTAAAGTATATGCTTTACATATTATAGTAAAAATATATGTATATTTTTACTATAATATATACTATAAGAAATATTTAAGTAATTAATGCAGTAAATATTATTACACATATAAGGAATTGCGTGATGTGAACGCCGAGTCCTCAATACTTGGTAGAGAATACACAATGTGTTATTTTGTGTGGAAAATAAAATGCCACAAAATGGCTAATCCTAAAAAAAAAACTAATCCCAACAACACAAGCACGTGTAAATACCGATGGAAATCAGTGAAAATCAACATTATTCAGGGCCCAGTGCATGATGGGAACATGAGGAACAGAAAAGTTGAGTAATTTTACTTAATTGTCTAATGTTGATATTTGCGTTTTAATTTGGCTTTAACTTTCTTTAATTGCTTCAATTGAGTACTAATATAGAATTTGCTTTGTTTTTTTCTTATATAAATTACATGAAAAAAAAATTCTGTAGTTCTTACTTTCCCACATATTTTATATCAGTGTTGATCAAACCCCAACTTTAACTAAAATCAGTATTAGTTGAAATAAGTTAATTGTTCTAAAGTATCCATGCCAATAAAAATAGGAATAATTGCTATTGTTTTTCCTTGCTTGCTTTGTTCCTCAAATTGCCTTTACAACTTTTAAATTTTAATAATAATAAAGGAAGGTTCCAAAACAAGTTTTTTCTTTATTGCATTATTGGTCTTTTTTTTTTTTTTTAGATAGGCCTACAGTAATCCTGTCACTTTATTTAAAGGGTTAGTTCACCCAAAAATTAAAATTCTATCAGTATTTACTCACCCTCATGTTGTTCCAAACCTCTATGTGTTTATTTGTTCTGCTGAACAGAAAGGAAGATATTTGGAAGAAAGTTTTAATCAAACAGATCTCATTCCCCATTGACTGTCAATGGGGAATGAGATCTGTTTGATTAAAACTTTCTTCCAAATATCTTCCTTTGTGTTCAGCAGAACAAATAAACACATAGAGGTTTGGAACAACATGAGGGTGAGTAAATACTGACAGAATTTTCATTTTTGGGTGAACTAACCCTTTAAGTTATATGTTGATTTATTAGAAATAAAAGGCAACTGGTTTGCTGGTCGTAGTTCTAGCCTGGTCTTGCAGCTGGTCTGGTGACAAGTTTTGAAAGAATTGTTTTGAAGCAACAGCTTTGTGACCATCTTAAAGCAGCTAAGGCACTTCTAACAACAGTTTTGCAAATACTTCATTATAGATATGTAAAGCATGAAGAAAGCAATCAATTAGCATTCTCGTATAATCTCTCATTCAAGTGCCTTCACTAGCTAAGTATCCTGAGTGAAAGTGAATGGCAGAAGACAAAGGAAAAGTTTGTTTCATACTGACAGGGTTGACCCCAAGCAGGGGATACTTGTCGAATGCTATCCCGAGTCAAAGTTTGACCCCAATTGCATCCACTTGGTGTCATTGTTGAGGAGTGTGCTGCTCTCTAGTGGACATTTGAAGAAAGTTTTTTTTTTTAATCGCTTTGGCTCAATTCTCAAATTAGACATTTTTCTCTATCAAAAAATAGGTTCAGATCTCTGAACAATTAGTTTCTTTTTCACATCAGATTTTAATTTCTTATTGATTTAGAGTTTTGGTGCATTTCTCACATCACTTACATTTAAACAACAGTTAATGCAGTTCTCAAAACAATTAACAACTGCTAAACCTACAGTAGTTGATAACCTGCAAAAAGCATGTCACTCATTTGCTCAAAATGGATAGCTCATTCCTAAAAAAACAAGTATTACAGTAATGTCAATGAAAGTGTCAGTGTTATCAAGATGAAAAGTCCTGACACCAGTGTTTGATCATGTTTTCATTATGGCAGTTTACTCTGTAAATGTTTTCCAATGCAAAAAAGTCAAATCTTGGTGACACTACCTGAAAATGCTCAAGGCAACACTACTATTTGCACAGCCATTTGAAAACTACAGTAGTTACACATTACTGTATTTAGTGAGGTAACTGAGTACAAGACACTGTACATTTATGTTTCTCTTTTTTACTGCACATGCTCTTTGCGATTTTAATTTGTTCACAGCATTGTGCAAAAGAAAAAAAATATTATTTACAACAAACAAACTCCCTTTGGGCAGAGCTGTGCACAGTACACTATGTTGCAGTACATATTGGAACTGAACATACAATAGTACTGTAAATCATTCATGTTCATACATTCTCATCAGTGAACGCTGGTTCACCTGAGAGAAATTGTTCAATTTAAAGTAGGATTAAAAAAAAAAAGATTGTAATTTTTTTTGTCAGATTTTGACAACTAGTTCAACATTTTTGTATGTGATGACTCTTTTAGTTTTATATGGAATGACTATTCAGCATTCACAACTATAGTTCATTTTGACTGACATGACATAAGCAAATGATAATGTTATAAAACAGCAGAGAGCTGTAAGCAATGCATGTCCAAAAGCATTTGCAATTTATGGGAAGGAATGAGAAACTGCTGAGGTGCACAAAATGACTAAATGTCATGGAGGTTGAACTAACTGTTGTGCAAATGTAAATAGAGATGTGAGAAATGCACCAAAGCAAAGAAAACTTAGCAAAGCACATGGAATTTGTATATAGAGTTAGCTTACAGTGACAGCTCAATACTATTTTTGAACATGGAGGAACATCACAAATCTGAGCAGCAGCAGCTACAACACTTTTTTTTTTCTAGAAATATGTTACATGTAAACTAAAAATTATTGTCATGGAAGAGCAATAGAAAGATTGCAACCCGTTCTCATTCCGAGGGCGCCGTATACTTCCACGCGATACTAGAGCGTCATCTAACACTGCATGAAAATAGGTGTATCCGGACCAGTATACTCCTGTATACACTGCTGAAATTCGGAAGAATCCAGGAGTATAGTGGCCGGATATGTCAAATTCCATGGGTTTGTATATATCCGCATACATCCGGAATGATACCAAATCGGATGTATGTTGTGGACGTATACTTCCGTGCTAGAGCCATTTGTTGCCATGGCAAGTAATCCCATTAAAGGTTTTAGCAGGAAAAAAATCACACCTTTTTGCAGGAAACATTCACACCTTATTGCCTTCCAACCAAACTGGATTGGTTGTTCTTTTAAAGCCACTCCCAACACCCAGACCACTATTGGAGGGCAGGACACATTGAAAACCCAGTAAACGGACTTTATTGGTTACTTTTAAACATAGCCCACCCTAGGCCTTGTAGCATACTGATTTGATTGGTTATATACCAGCTATGCAGATATTGCTCAAATATATACCAAACCTCCCTCCCCCAATTTTAATATATTCATTAAAATAAATTTGATATATATATATATATATATATATATATATATATTTATATTTAAACACACAAAGAACAATGGGAAAGTCTGAAATTTTTATTAAGGTATATAACACATTCCAAATAGCATTATAAACAAGCATTACAGAGGAATTGGGAACAAAAACTAGAAAAAAAAAGTATGAAGTAATAACATCTCAAAGGAAGAAAAAAAAATCATGGACATTCCAAAGAAAATTATAAACATACATTAAATAAATTGTTAACTTTTTATTTTCGTTAATTTTTTTTTACCCAATCATTTTAAAGGACAGATGTAAAGGAATAAAGTACACAGTGTATATAAAAAGTTACATATATATATATAAAATATATGAAGAGTTCCATTTGAAATTTTCTCCTTTAATGATGATTTTTATCAAACTTGTATATTTAAGTTCAGTAATTTCTCTTAAATGGCAATGATAATTGCCTATTAATTGTTATTTAAGTGAAATTACTAAACTTAAATATACAAGTTTGATAAAAATCATCATTAAAGGAGAAAATTTCAAATGGCATTTAGAGGCTTTTGCATCTGAACTCTTCATATATATATATATATATATATATATATATATATAAAATATACGTAGATATTCCAAGTAAACAATATAAATAAATAGAAAATTACAGAGAGTGCATTATAAACATACATTAAAATGCAAACAAGTAAACAAAATGGAGATAAGCAACATGGACAACAAAAAAAGGAACAAATATATGAAATAATACGAGAAAAATAAATAAGAAATTAAAGTGTATATAAAATATTCAAGGTGTACACTGCCGTTTATAAGTTTGGGATCGGTAAGAAGTCTCATATGCTCGCCAAGGCTGCTTTTTTTTTTATATATAAAAAATACAAAAAAAGTAAGAGTAATATTGTTAAATATTATGACAATTTAAAATAAACGTTTCTATTGGAATACATTATTCTTGTGATCAAAGATGAATTTTTAGCATCATTACTCCAGTCTTCAGTGTCACATGATCCTTCAGAAATCACTCTAATGTGATGATTTGATGCTCAATAAATATTCATTATTATTACCAAAGTTGAAAACAGTTGTAGACTTTTTAGGATTATTTGATCAATAGAAAGTTATATTTCATTTATTTGAAATATGATGTTTTGTAACATTATAAATGTCTTTACTGTCACATTTGATTCATTTAATGCATCCTTGCTGAATAAAAGTATTGAGTTAATTTGAGCTATCCCCCCCAAACCAAAAAAAAAAAAATATCTTACCGACCCCCAAACTTTTTTTTTTTTTTTATACGAGTTAACATTTTTCAAACTGCCATGATACGCTGGTGGTGTGACGCATAGTGTGGGTCAGCCTCTAGTCTGTTTTATAGTACCTAGCAGAGAGCAGATTGGTGGAGACCTCACCATTCACACTGGCCTTCCATCAACAATAGCATCATCTTCATCAGACATCAGTTCTATTGTTGCGGTCTTCCAAAGTTCCTTTTCTGTGTTGGTTTGTACAACCCCGGACCTGGTCTCCAGCAACTGAAAAACATGACAGTAACTTAACCACTAAAACACAGAGAGGAGGATAGTTACATTCTGAAGAGAAAAAAAAGTGCTTAACCAGTTTCTTAACTTACCAGTCGCTTTCTTTGAAGGTTCTTTGCAATGCTCGTCATAGTTTTTCTTTTCTGGGCCTTTTCAGGCTGAGCCAAAGAATACTTCCTCCGCAAAGTCTCAAAATACATCTTCCAACCTGCTAAATATATCATAAATAAATGTAATGGCAATAAAAATAAGTAAAACAGAGGACAATAAAATGATTACATCTTTAAGATTACCTTTTACACATTCAGGGTCAACGTCTGTAAAAGTTGACCTTAATTCTTCGAAGAGGTAAGTGGTCACAGCCAGGTTATGTGATGAATTTATTCTGGGGGGGAAAGTTGCAGGTATCATCATTACCGAAATTCACTTTTGGCATTCCAAATCCATAGAGTAGTAGATTAAACTAACATTTAGGCTATAGTATATAAGAAACAGTCTTACCTGGTTTGTGGAACGTATTTGTGTGGGTTGTTCTCTGAATTATGGAGGCGCCTTACAGATTCCTGTAAAGTTTGAAATTAAAAAGCAATTAAATTGATTCACAATCTTCAAGAACCAAAAAAAATGAATTTTCAGTTGGAAAAAGCTGACCATCACAGTAACCGCAAGAGACAAAACAATAATTGTAACCGAACTATGGCTTACAGCCACGTTATAGAACAATAATTGGACTTACCGCAATGTTCACGTCATGTGCCTTTTTTATTCTTTTCGAAGCGTTGTAAGATTC